GAAGGACAACTTACTCTTTGAAAATATGGTTGTATAATAAATATACAAGAAAATTACTAAAAGTAAATTTCAGCATGATACTTACATTCAGGCAATACTCAGGTTTATTTGCAATAGCAGAAAAATATATTCAGTAACTAGGAATTTATTATATCAAGTAATATATAAAGTAGAGTGAAATAAGCCTAAGCACTGTGTAGGACCCTTCATAAAGGCAGCTGTAATTAAATGTGATCTCAGTCAATGACACCAGTATGACAAAATAGTTCTGGAAGTTTAGCAAGACTAACATGTGAGAACAGTTAAAAATACCAAGAGGAAAAATATTTTAGCGTGAGTAAAGAAACTAGCCTGCCATTGCAATTGAAATGTTTTATGAAAACCACAGTTGTTAAAATAGTTTAGTACTGACACTGAACTAGATCAGTGAAAATGAACGGAGGTTCAGTAAAAAACCCAACTACATAAGTGTACTTAGTATATGTTAAAGTTTGTTTTTCAAATTATTAAGAGAAAAGATGGATTATTCTACAGCATGTCAGGATAACTGGCTAGTAGTTTGTTAAAGATAAAGTCAATCACTGCTTCACTTTTATACAAGAGTAAAATTGTCAATGGACCAAATACCCAAATATTTAAAAAATGAAACTAGAAGAAAACAATAGTGAATTTTAAGTGATTTTCGGATAGGGAGGACCTTTCTAAATGTGACACAAGTTTCAAAAGCCAAAAAAAAAAAAAAAATAACATACTTGACTACGTAAAAATTAAAATGCCAAAGGTTGACTAGACAACCAAAATTATTTAGTTTAAATCATTTAGCTAAAAAACATTCTGGGACGTAAGAGAGTGGATAATTTGCAACATATTTGATAAAAGACAAATGTTCTTAAAAATCAAATTTTAAAAAAATAAATTAATAAAAGATAAGCCCTCCAAAAATGTGTCACATTATACAAGAAACAATTCATAACACACATAAAAATGGCCAGGATACATGCAAGGATGTTCACTCTTCTTTATGAATGAAGAAATTCCTGTCAAAGCAAGATACTATCGTATACTCATAAAACTGTCAAAGATTTAAAGTGTACTTATCAATAATGGCAAGGGTGTGGGGAAACCTCTGATACATTGTGGAAATGTGAATTGATGTGACATTTTTAAGAAGAAATTTAGCAGTATCTGTCAAAATTTTAAACATTCGTATGTTTTAATCTATCAGGACCACTTTAATTTATCACAGGAGTTACACAAAGATATATGTTGAAGAATGTTTGATGTATCATTGTGTGTAGTGGCAAAAATTCTAAAAGGGCAGATACATGTTGTGTCAGGTGGCTAGTGTAGTATAGTACCACCAATACAGTGGAATACATTCATAACTGTTAAAATTAGTTATATGTTTATGTTTTGGTATGGAAAGATGTGGAGGGTATGATAGGTAAAAAGGGTACCTTGTATTAAAATATGGATTTTTAAAAATTACTGTATTTTAAGTCCTGAGATACATGTGCAGAATGTGCAGGTTTGTCACGTAAGTATACACTTCCTATGGTGGTTTGCTGTACCCATCAACCCATCGTTTACATTAGATATTTATCTTAACGGTAACTCTGCCCTAGTCCCCTGCCCCTGACAGGCCTCAGTGTGTGATCTTTGCCTTTCTGTGTCCATGTGTTCTCATTGTTCAACTCCCATTTATGAGTGAGAAAATGCAGTGGTTGGTTTTTTGTTCTTGTGATAGTTTACTGAAAATGATGGCTTCCACCGTTATCTATGTCTCTGCAAAGGATGTGAACTCATCCTTTTATATGGGTGCATAGTATTCCATGGTGTATATGTGCCACATTTTCTTTATCCAGTCTCATTGATGGGCATTTGAGTTGGTACCAAGTCTTTGCTATTGTGAACGGTGCCACAATAAACGTGTGTACATGTGTCTTTATAATAGAATGACTTATAATCCTTTGGTTATGTACCCAGTAATATGATTACTGGGTCAAATGGTATTTCTGGTTCTAGATCCTTGAGGAATTGCCACAGTGTCTTCCACAATGGTTTAACTAATTACAATCCCACCAACAGTGTAAAAGCATTCCTATTTCTCCACATCCTCTTCAGCATCTGTTGTTTCCTGACTTTTTAATGATTGCCATTCTAACTGGTATGAAATGATATGTCATTGCGGGATTGATTTGCCTTTCTCTAATGACCAGTGATGGTGAGCTTTTTTTCATATGTTTGTTGGCTGTGTAATTGTCTTCTTTTCAGAAGTGTCAGTTCATATCCTTTGCCCACTTTTTTTGTAAATTTATTTAAAGTTCTTTATAGATTCTGGATATTAGCCCTTTGTCAGATGGATAGATTGCAAAATTTTTCTCCCATTCTGTAGGTTGCCTGTTTACTCTGATGATAGTTTGTTTTGCTGTGCAGAAGCTCTTTAGTTTAATTAGGTCCCATTTGTCAATTTTGGCTATTGTTGACATTGCTTTTGGTGTTTCAATCATGAACTGTTTGCCCATGCCTATGTCCTGAATGGTATTGCCTAGGTTTTCTTCTAGAGTTTTTATGGTTTTAGGTCTTACATTACATTTAAGTCTTTAATCCATCTTGAATTAATTTTTGTATAAGGTGTGGGAAAAGGGTCCAGTTTCAGTTTTCTGTATATGGCTAGCAGGTTTCCCCAGCACCACTTATTAGAGAATCCTTTCCCCATTGCTTGTTTTTGCTATGTTTGTCAAAGATCGGATGGCTGTAGATGTGTGGTGGTATTTCTGAGACCTCTATTCTGTTTCATTTGTTTATATGTCTGTTTTGGTACCAGTACCATGCTGTTTTGGTTACTGTAACCTTGTAGTATAGTTTGAAGTCGGGTAGCGTGATACCTCCAGCTTTGTTCTTTTTGCTTAGGATTGTCTTGGCTATGTGAGCTCTTTTTTTTTTGTTCCATTAAAATGTGGATATTTTATTTAAGTGAAAAATACTTTGAAGTTAGAATTAAAATTTATATCTGCATAGTAAATGTATTTGAAAGATAACATTAGCTATCTATGTGGCTTGGAATTGGGTAGTTGAAAGGAATAGAGTTGAGGAATTTTTGCTTTTTACTTTGAATCCTTCCATACTGCTTGAGTTTTTCCTTTTTTCAAAATAGGAACATGTTTTACTTTTATACTTAAACCACAGCAGAAGCAAAACAGTATCAGTTTAGGCTTACATGAAAGAATAAATATTACATTACATGGGCCTTTATTCCTCATAATAGAAAATACAAAACCAGGAGCCTTTCATGCTGGTTTAATAGTGCTTGTTTATTTGAGAATATTTAACCAGTAGGCTTCATTGCAATCCAAAAGTAATGATATTTTTGTTCTATATCTTATAATTTGGCTAGGCAATGGGACACATTTTATCACTGTACTTCTGGATTAGCCAGTGACATTTGCCACTTTACAAGAGGTACCACTCCCAGAACCAGAATTTGTGTGAGACTCCTCTCACAGTTGCCCTCTAAAATATCGTTAAAGCTCTCTACTCTGCAGTCCCCCAAAATTATAATTATCCAGTTTTGTGTTTAACAAGGTCTGAAATTTCTTTAGCTAAGAACTTCTGTGAAAAGGCTATTCAGTGTCTCGTTTGTTCTAACAACTAAACTCCCTTCTCCATTCTGATTTACACATGAACCACTTTCAAACCATGCTCTTCCCAAGATTAGGCTTTCTACATTTAATATAATGAAAAGACAAGTGGTTGTTCTCTCCTTAAAAGTACTCAGAAAATTTCTGATGGATGAAACAAAATAATTTCCTCTAACACCAGGGAGACTAACCATACAAAGGCACGTTGCCGACTTTCTTCTGCATCAGTTGGTTGAGACCCATAGTGTTGCTCTCCATAAGTTATCCTTTATCGGAAAATAGCATATTCCAGATGCAGTGTATTTTAGATGTCTGCTTATCAACTCTGGTAAGAACCTAGTTTAAGTTTCCATAGGGGTAATATGATTACTCAAGATTTCATCTGCAGTACACTGCGTATTATGTAGATTTTTCCATCTTTTCCAACATTACTCTAAAAGTTACCCTTCACTCAGTTTAACTCTTAAAATGCCATTGGTAGGGTCTTTGCACTTCAAGCCTTCTTGAGGAGAAGCTTTCTTCTGAGAGTTAATATCATTTAGCAGGGGTCAAGAACAGAAAGTTCTGTTTTTAATCTAAAGGCTAAGGCAGATGTATTCTTAGACTTCTCTTCAACCTCATCTGTACTTCAGTATCTAGTTTCCATAGCAACTGAGATGCAGTTTGCAGCTGGATAAGAAAAGATAAATCTTTAGGTGTAAAGAAATTTATTTTTTAACCTAGAGAAAGAAGGTATCTAGCAATACCTTCACAGTTTTTATAGGCTAAAGCCTACATTCTTTTTTTCAGGACTTTAGTATTTCACTAATAGGTATCCTTTTCTTTTTCCTGAAGAGGCCAGTCATTCAACTCTTCTCCACACAGTCCCAGCAAAGATTGCTGCTTCTTTGTTCTACTGTTTAATCACAGTCAAACTAATTAATTAACCAATTTAACAAGACCGATAAAAGAGCTTTTCTACAGAAATTGTAGTTACCAGTAGAATTACTTCTTTTCAAATGGAATGTCTCTGGCTGATAATAGCCTTTTTTTAATAGGAAGCAGAGAGTCTCTTGTTCAAATGTGATTGAAAGAATCTAGAACAGTACTTACGTCTGTGTTCTTAATATAACTGAATTTGGGGTTTGTACTTAAGACATGTGGAGTCACTTAGGTGGAGAAGTGTTGGAGTGAGAGAAGTGCTGTCACAAGTCTTTGCAACCACTGGAAGGATAACATTAAAGAGATGCTCTAAGCACTTAATGTTACATCTTCCGATAGGTGTAGCACTTTAAATGGAAAATTTATCTTATCTTTTTTAAGTTGTTGAAGCTGGAGGAAGATTAATGCTTTTTTTTTTTTTTTTTTTTTTTTTTGTAGGAACTGCCTTCTGTTGAAGAACTCACTATTATTCTGCCTGAAGATATTGAATTAAAGCCTCTTGGGATGGTTTCAAGTATTATTGAACAACTAGGTATGTAAAGAATTTTATTAATAAAAAGAATCTTATTAAAATATTAATTATATCTGAACACACACTAATAATTGAATCAGTGGCTTTCTGACTAGTAAATTGTTTTTTAAATATGTAATTAACACGTCATAGTTTGAAGGGATAAAATTCAGTTTTCATGTACTGAAATTATACATAAATAGAGTTTCTTCATAGAAATTTAAATGTCTGGCTTTACTGACGTACTTCCTCCAGAATTTTCTTTTAGTTTGATATATTAGTTTTCTAATGTTTCTCTACCAAATTACTGCAAACATAGTGCCTTAAAACAGCACAGATTTATCATACAGTTCTCATGTGGGGCTCAGTGGGCTAAAATCAAATGTGTTAACTGGGCTGAGTTATTTTCTGTAGATACTAGCGGAGAATCTTATTTCTTTGCTCTGCTTGGCTTCTTGAGCCTGCCCACATTCCTTGGCTTTTGGTTCTCTTTCTTCATCCTGAAAGCCAGTAATGGAGTGTCTGTCTCTGAGCCTTCTTCCAGTGTCTCACCTCACTCCAACCACATCTGGAAAGGTTCTTTGCTTTCAGAGACTTTTTAGATTGAGTATCTGCATAATCCAGGATAATCTCCCCTATCTCAAGGTCCTCAACTTTAGTCACATCTGCAAAGGCTCTTAAAAATGTAATGTATTTACAGATTCAGGTATTAGAGTGTGGATATCTGGGGGTGCCATTCTGCTCACCATCTTTGATTTTGTCTTAAGAACATGTAAGTTAGAAAGTTTAGTGGTTTAATACTGATATATTAATGGCACAAAATATGAAACTGCTATATAAGAGAACTTAATATTTTAGATTTCTTTAGACCCAGCATGTGAGGTTGGTATGTGAGATTTTGTTAATGTAGGTACTGTTAACTCATAGTAGGGTACGCCTGAGAATAGAACTTAGCACTGACAAAGTATTAGGATTTTGGAACTGTGAAGAGGGCCTAGACTGCCTACCAGCCTCCACAGAACCTAAGGACATAGAAAAATTCAAGGTAGTTGCTCTTGGGACCAGCTGTATAATGAGTCAGTGGTTGAAATGGGACTTTTACTTTTGACTTTTTTCTGTGTCTGTATCAATATTTAAAAATAAATACTTACATAATTTTATACTTTTTCATTTTATTAATAAAAATATATTAAAGTGAACCCTTTTTTCAAAAATAATAATTAAAACTCCATGATTCTGGAATCATTACATTTACTAGTTTTAGAGTTATCTTATGGTATTTAATAATATGTGAAGATAAATCAAACAGGCAACTAATTTCTTATATAGTATGATTTAAACATTTATTAGACTTGTTGTATACAGATTTCTTTTTTTTTTTTGAGATGGAGTTTTATTCTTGTTGCCCAGGCTGGAGTGCAATGGTGTGACCTCGGCTCACTGCAACCTCTGCCTCCCATGTTCAAGCAGTTCTCCTGCCTCAGCCTCCCGAGTAGCTGGGATTATAGGTGCCTGGCACCATGCCTGGCAATTTTTTTGTATTTTTAGTAGAGACAGGGTTTCATCATGTTTGTCAGGCTGGTCTCGAACTCCTGACCTCATGATCTGCCTACCTCAGCCTCCCAAAGTGCTGGGATTACAGACATGAGCCACTGCACCTGGCCCATTTTTTGCATTTTTAGCAATTCTATTTTAACTAACATAGACTAAAAAAATTCTCAAACTAATGGGAATAAAGAGAAAATGAGTCAAAATCAGCACATGCCACTGTTGCCTACTCTGTTTTGAAAGCCTAAAATATCTAATATTATTTGAAACAAATTACACAAAAAGAAAAAATAAGTAGTATTAGGCAAAAATAATCTATGAATTCAAAGAACCTAAAGATGAAAAGAGGGAATTTGGGTTTGCATTCTGTAGCCCTACAAACTATGCCTTTTTTATTTTGTTTTAATTTGGAAAAAACCATGGGACTAATTAGATATTATTCTTATAGGTAGAAGTGGAGAGATGTCATGAAATTAGTGATCTTGTCCTAGTTCATTCTTTCAGAGTGTTAGTTTTAAAATATGAAAATGTTTATTAATATGGTACAAACCTATGAGTTAATTTGTATCCATCTACCTGAAATTGCCTGCTGCTCAGAATCATTGTAATAAGAGAATGGGTCTTATTACAACGCAGTTGTGTTGCAGAAAGAGCATAGGAACTAGGTCAAGGTTCTGGTGATAATGGAATTGGCCTTGCCTTAATTGTTACAAAGGACTTTCTTAAATCTTTATTTTCTTATCTTTCTATAAGATGAGGGCATTGGATTAGGTGGTTTTTAGTTTTCCTGTAATTAATTTGACTCTTCTGGATGATTAGGAAGAAACGATGACTGAAAATGAATTCTGTTATTGCTCAGTGTAGTTATCAATCCATATTTCATCATTATTCCAGAAGCAGATTTAATTCAAAAAATGTTGCCCCATGATCTGTTGGTTATGTGTATATTTGGAATTCAGAAGTACTGACTTTTTTGTTTTTTTAATAGAGACGAGGTCTTGCTATATTGCCCAGGCTGGTCTCAAACTCCTGGGCTCCAGCCATTCTTCCTAGTCAACCTCCCAAAGTGCTACAGGCGTGAACCGCTGCATCTGGCCTGAAGTTAAAATTGGTTGGAATACAAAAGAAATTATTTGAATTAATTTTAATAACCTGAGCTATTATATTTTATTCCCTAAGTGGACGTGGCATTACCTATGTAATGTAACAGAATGTTCTTACTTGTGGCTCTGATTTTCTAAAAATTTATTGAGCGAGTGAGTGAGTGAGAGCGAGAGAGACAGACACAAAGTGTGTGTGTGTGTGTTTGTGTGCGTGTGTGTGTGTATTTTCTCTTTGTTATGGTAGATCAATTTTTTAACATTTTTGTCATTTAAAAGAATTAGAGATTTGGAAATTATGCTTCTGCTTTTTGAGGAGGGAATTTTCATGTAATGATAAAAATTACTGTGAGCTGTAGCACTTTTACTTCTTCTGTTCTTTTTTTTTTTT